ATGGGTCAAAACATTTGTTTTGCTAATAAAAATAATGCCAGGATAAACATTTTAAAAAAAATATATTATATATATATATTTATATATTTTACAGATGGCATCTCACTCTGTTGCCCAGGCTGGAGTGCAATGGTGTGACGTAACCACCAATCTTTTTTTTTTTTTTGAGATGGAGTCTCGCTGTGTCACCCAGGCTGGAGCACAGTGGCACGATCTCGGCTCACTGTAACCTCCGCCTCCCGGGTTAAAGAGATTCTCCTGCCTCAGCCTCCCGAGTAGCTGGGATTACAGGTAGGTGCCATCACACCCAACCAATTTTTGTATTCTAGTAGAGATGGGGTTTTACCATGTTGGTCAGGCTGGTCTCGAACTCCTGACCTCAGGTGATCTACCCAAGTTGGCCTCCCAAAGTGCAGGTGTGAGCCACTGTGCCCGGCCACAAAAAATATTTTCAAACAAAAATCGGTTTATTACACACACAAAGTTGTGTGGATGGGAGGACAAAAGGACTATATGTATTATAACCATATTAATTACAGTACATTAAAATGGTGGTTTCCATTACAAATAACTCTGTAAGTTTAAATATATTAGTGTTATCCAATGTATAGACTTTATATAATACATTTATCCGGAATGCCAAAAAAAGCCATATACACATAAATAATGCCCATTTTACAGGTGACGTTTTAAACAATGAAAACATCAATGGCTCTGATGACACCTGGGGCATTGATCCATAAAAATCCTTTCTAAAAATAGAAATATTTGTACCAGCAATGCTTTCTTTAAGCATTTGAATACAAATCATTGCAAGACCATTTAAATAAATTTTTGTTATCAACTATATCTTACAAAAAAAGTCTACACATAAATTTATCTCCAAATATGGAAGAAACAAACTGCCACAACAATGCAGATGACGAACATTTTAAAATGCATGCCTGGCTGTGAAACGAAGGGCCAAAGTACAAGTACATTCTTAAAGCTAGATACACGCCATATTGCCAGCTGCTTTACAGAAAGGCTATGCTTTACGCTTCTACCAGCAGTTGATAACTTGAGAATGTCGCAGTGCCAATTCTTTTTTTTTTTTTTTTTTTTGAGGCAATGTCTTACTCTGTTGCCCAGGCTGGAGTGCAGTGGCATGATCACAGCTCACTGCAGCCTCAAACTCCTGGGCTCAATGCATCCTTCCACCTCATTCTCCTGAGTAGCTAGGACTAGAGGTGTGCATCACCAAGGCCAGCTAATTTAATTATTATTATTTTTGTAGATATGAGGTCTTACTATGTTGCCTAGGCTGGTCTCAAACTCCTGGACTCAAGAGATCCCCTGCCTTGGCCTTCCAAAGTGCTGGGACTACAGGTGTGAGCCACCATGCCCAGCAAATTCCAAGTTTATATCCAAGCTCTCTATGACTGCTCTGATGCCATATATATCCCACCACTCCTCTCCTCACTGCCTCTTCTCTGGCCACACTGGCCTTGCCTCCTTGCTGTATCCCGAAAACCTCAAGCACATTCACACCTTGGGGCCTCTGAATTAGCTTCTCCCTTTTCCTTGAACATACTTTTTCCAGATATTCACATGGCTCACTCCCTTCCTGCAGGTCTCTAATTAATATTACCTTAGTAGAGAGGCCTCTCTGTACCATATAAAACAGCAATTAACTTGGATATTCTTTCTGCTTCAGCCAAATTATCTCCATAGCATATACTACCACTTATCATATGTAACATTTATTTTACTGTCTGTCTCCTCCCATTAGAATATAAATTCCATGAGGGTTTATTTTTGTCTGACTTGGTCCTTTATCTCTAGTATCCAGAACAATGGCTGGCAAATGGTGCTCAGACGTCTATTATATGCATCAATCAATATGGAAAGATTCCACTGGGGTCAGAAGCAACCTACAGATAGGGATTAAGTGAGCATCTTCACAGTTTGATTTCGGAGTGCTAAAGGACCCACCTACTCCCAAATGAACTGCTGTGATACCTGAATAGCATTAATAGTAAACGCTCAATCAATGTTAGCTATTTTCATGTTCCAGGTACTTTTCTGAGTACTTTACATGTATTAACTTAGTTAATCCACATGCTAACCCTATGAGATAGATACTATTATCTCCTTTAAGGGGGGAAACTGAGGCAGAGAGGTTCGGTAACTTGGCCAAGGTCACATCACTAGTAAATGATAGTTTTCATAAATAGAATGCAAATGTCTCCTTGGAAAATTAACATTAATATGGATTTGTTTATCAGATTTTCTAACAAAGAGGACCCTGAGGGAAAGAGATATAATACAGATTGGATTTAATCGAAATGGGGGGCGGGGAACAAACAAAAAGGGAAAGTTCTAAATTCAAGATCATCTACTTTACAATTTTACTCTCTAGTTAAATTGTTATTACACTTCTAGTACAAAGGGTAATGGAAAATAAACCCATTATGGGGAGTAAGGGTAATTTTTAGAACAGGGGTAGACCTTCAGGGAATTTATAAACAAAATTCTATTTTAGATGACAAGCAGAGTTAAATGTTTTACAGTTTGGTTCCTTAAAAAAATTAAAAATATGACACAAAATCAGAGACTATGCTATTCATTAACTACATACTTTTAAAATTTAACTATGGTTGAACTCTTTAGTCAGTAAACATGACAAATTAAATCAAGAGTTGCTTCATTATAGATTAAAGTGTCTGACGGTTCATTAATGATAAATGCAGGATAAGCCTATACATTTTCACCAAAAGTCTTAGAATTAAAAAAGACAACCAAGTATCAAATTATGTCAGTAATACAAAAAATATAAAAAGGATTAAATCTCTCTCCTCACATACATATGCAACATATTTTGCCGTATTAGCACACATTCTAAATGTCAACATTTAGAGATGTGAAAATAAAACACTAGACACCTTAATCTCTTCCTATTTCCTTTCCTACTAGAAAAAGGATTGAGTTTTTTTCAAGTGAAGCTAGAAGAGGGTACAGGCTGGATCATCAGCTGTTGGTAACAATTACTGTTAGAAGAGCCTCCAAAAAGTAAACAGACACATGACATCTGCCAACATATGGAAAGTTAAAATTTAAATGACTTACAGTTCAGAATAAATCAGCATAACATTTGTTAGATTTTTCACTAAAATGGCTTAAAAAATCAGTTTACTTGATTGTGAAAGCTCTACTGGGAAGGCAAAAGTCACTGTATTTTATTCTGGTATGATATAAATGAAAATGGATAAAGTTTTCAGACTGTAATATTATAATACTAACGTTTCAAATCAGAGAGATTGTATAGTGGAAAAGGCTCCAAAATAATCCAAGACTTAGGCCAAGTTCAAACTTTGCCCAAAGCCAGCTGGGTGATCTTGGCTACTTCCTTTCACTCTGAGGCTCTATTTCCTGACTAAAAAAATGTATAGTTTCAGTTGTTGTGAGGATTATAGATAACCTCTCTGAGGCATTTGGCATGATGCTTGGCATTCAAGGAACAATAACTATTAAAACTCTTTCTCCTCCATCTCCCCCTCCTCTGATGAAACAGTGAAGAAATGAGAATGAAGCAGACTGCTAATAAATAGTATAAAGTTTTAATAGATTATCCATAGCATTCTTAAAATGAGCAAACTGAATCAACCCACCGATATTGTGTCATCTTTTTAGGTATGGAAGTAAAAGCTGAATATTTTTTTGGTGGGAATTATCTATGAAATATAATTTCCTCTAATATTTATTAAATCAGAACTTCTATAAAAATGTCATCGAGAATTAAAACTTTCACAAGACATTTCTCACTTATAAACAAACATTTCTCATTTATGCCAAAAATACTTAGTAATATACAGGCTCTCTGAAACATTTATCTTTGCAAGTTATGTTCAATATTATCTTCCAAGTCTTTCTAGTTATCTTATAAAATGTTGCAAAAAATTATTCTATAAAAGACAGACAAGCCATTGTCATTAATCAAATATAAACATGTCTTAATAAAATACCTACTTACGTATCCTAAGTTGCTTATTAAGTTTTGAATTATATTACATGTGCCACTTTTTCCAGATATTTATCTCCTTGAATAAAATAGCCTTTTGGCCAGGCACAGTGGCTTATGCCTAAAATCCCAGCACCTTGGGAGGCTGAGGTGGAGGAATTGCTTGAGTCCAGAAATTCAAGCCCAGCCTGGGTGACATGGTGAAACCCTGTCTCTACAAAAAATACAAAAATTAGCTAAGTGTGGTGGTATGTGCCTGTAGTCCCAGCTACTCGGAAGGCTGAGGCAGGAGGATAGCTTGAGTCCGGGAGGTGGAGACTGCAGTCAGTTGAGATCATGCCACTACACTCCAGCCTGGGCAACAGAACAAGACTCCATCTCAAAACCAAAGAAAAAATCAAGTGGCCTTTTGGTCCAGTCTTTGCTATGCTAGATAGTATTATATATATTACTATTTAGAATGTCTCAAAAGATCTTTTCTGTGTAGTTTAATATTTGTGAACCTCAAAAGACCAGATGTTCAGGAAATGATCCCTTCACTTTTTTTTCCCCATTGGTACAGAGATAAAGTTTTCTGAAAATAAAGACATGTATATTTTGAACTAACCATTAAGAATAGTTCAGATAACATTGTATTTTTATCACTGTCCACACTTAAAATTATGTATCAACAAGTGCCTTTTTGTAAGACAAAGCTTATGATCAATCTCTATAGTGAAAATATCAGTTTTACCTTTTGGATCATTGTGAGTCAACAGCTGTATGTCGAATTGTTTAGCAAATGCAGTCAAATCTGGTGGCATCACACAGCAGGAGGCAAGATTAACTTGGTTACTATTTGGTTTTACCTAGAAGTGAAAATAAAATCATGATATCACTACTAAATTAAATACCAAAAATAGAAAGCAATAAGCAATAACATAATTTTAGAACATATGAAAAATCACAATCCACAGTGCTTAAAGCTTACAAAATACTTTTACATTAATATCATTATTAATATATGCTTTTCTAACCTAGGTTAGTAGTAATAGGGAATAGGAATTCCCTATTACCTTTTCCCTATGTAGTATGTTGCAAAATGTATTTTGCAGTGTACCACTAGGGGGAGGAAAAATCCAACATAGTACTACACTTTTTTTTTTTTTTTGAGATGGAGTCTTGCTCTGTTGCCCAGGCTGGAGTGCAGTGGCATGATTTTGGCTCACTGCAACCTCCACCTCCTGGGTTCAAGCAATTCTCCTGCCTCAGCCTCCTGAGTAGCTGGGATTACAGGTATGTGCCACCACCCCAGCTAATTTTTTGTGTTTTTAGTAGAGACCGGGTTTCACCATGTTGGTCAGGCTGGTCTTGAACTCCTGACCTCAGGTGATCTACCCACCTCGGCCTCCCAAAGTGCTGGGCTTACAGGTGTGAGCCACGATGCCTGGCCCGGTACTACACTATTAAAAAGTCTCCTGCTAGAACCATTTAACAATCTAATACCTCTGCCTAGAAAACAAACATGCTTTTTGTTAGTTTGTTAAGTGTGATGGTTTCAGCTACAGAGGGAATAGGTCTTAAAGGTAGAGGATCAAATACAAGTAAATACATTTAAAGTGTAAAATATGGCTATGAATCACACACATTTTGAAAGAAAAGAACTGACAGCTTCCAGCAGCTGCACTGGTTAATTTACATTCTGAATCATCTAAGTCTCTCCGGTAGTTTCTTGACCTCATTCTGGCTACCATCAAGGAGAAGGGGAAATACTTTCTCTAGGTCTTCCTGTCCATAAGAAACTCTGAAAGCTCTGAAAAGGAGAAGGCTGAAGAAGAAGGAAAAGGAATAAAGAAAAATACTGAGAGTAAAGGTAAAATGCCAGCAAGTGACTTTCCTAATAATGTAGGTTATTAGACCAGAGAGGGGGAATAATTAATTTATGACACTCACTCCATATCAAGTTGTATGAACTGACAGTCTTACACATCTTTGAATAACAGCAAAATATTTGTTATATATAATGTTCCCTGACTTAGGAAATTAGAGTCATGGTCTAATAGTACCTAAAGAAAAAGAAGGTGTTTTTTTTTTTTGAGACAGAGTCTTGCTCTGTCACCCAGGCTGGAGTACAGTGGCGCGATCTCAGCTCACTGCAACCTCCGCCTCTGGGGTTCAAGTGATTCTCCTGCCTCAGCCTCCTGAGTAGCTGGGATTACAGGTATGTGCCACCACGCCCAGCTAATTTTTTTATTTTTAGTAGAGATAGGGTTTCACCATATTGGTCAGGTTGGTCTTGAACTCCTGACCTCATGATCTGCTTGCTTCGGCCTCCCAAAGTGCTGGGATTACAGACATGAGCCACTGCACCCGGCTGTAAGGTTTTTCTTTAGGTATTATTGTTTTCAGCACATAAGTAGAACTGAAGGAAATGGCCTTAATTCATTTGGCTATAAATGTTTTAACACACATTTTCTAGTATTTTTGTCACTCATTTTAACTGGGATTAACATTCAGTTCAATCAGAGATACATTTAAATAAAAAGAAACAAAAACTCCAAATGATAAAACCTGCCTCGAAACTCCTGCAGAAACAAAACAAAACTCCCACATGTGGAAAAGTCACCCTGCAGGGATGGCCACTATGTGCATCACACACAACAGTGTGCAGCAAAGACTGAAAAGGGCAAGTTCTTCCCGGAGTACTCATGATCCTGCCATCCCTTACCTGTGCCCACTGATACAGCTGTTCCAACTGTGTTTTGTCTAGATCAGAGGTACCTATGGCAACAATCTTTTTGCTCTGAACTAAGTTTTCTAATTCCTCCCAGTAAGGCTGTAAATGCTCCAAGGAAAGATTAACTCCATCTTCAATAGGAGGCGAAGCAATGATCACAGAATCCAGCTGTGCAACTCCAAGGACTGAACAGGCTGATAGGAAGGAAAACACAAGGAGAATAAACGCTTGTTACATCATAAAAACAAATATTTCTAATGTTTTCAAAGTATCTCACTGAATTCTGTCCATATTCTTCACTAGTTTTCAAAATAACAGATTATTTCATAGTTTACTTTTCATTTAGAACATTTCCATCTTTCAAGAATGTGTAAGTGCCCATTTACCTACTTGCTCTGTGTGGCAGACAAGTGGGTTTCTCTGACCTGCCTTCTTCCTAGGCAGCTTGCAGCTACTACATGCTCCTCTTTCTGGGGAAAAAAATTTCTTCTTGTTTCCTAGGTCCCAGAAGTTTTTAGTAGCTCCCTTACCTTCATAAAATTTTCTTCTCCAGTTCTACTTGCTCACTACTATCGCATATGGATGATCACAAGAATTATGACCTAATATTCTGTAACTGGTAGTCACAGCAAAGAATAAGCTTGAGACACTGAAAAACTGAATGTTTGGTCTTAATCCACATTTATAGAGGTAGATAACTTCTTAATTTCTATAAAAATAATTGAAGAGCTTATTTTAAATGATTATTCATTCTAAAGTTACATTAAAGAGCCAATTATTTGAGTTTTCAATATATGTAAATACTGGAAGAATTTTTTATTATCACAATAACCTAAGTGCTAAAAATAGATATAAAATACTTGAATTTTTTTTTTTTTTTTTTTTGCCATTGTTGGTTTTGATATTTCACCTCTAATACTAAAAGGGCTAAGAATATGATTAAGAACTTCTATCTCCAAACAGACAGTGAACATTTAACTACATTACACCTTTTACGTTCCTCTTGCACATCAAAGTATGACCTACATAAGTCAGTATGATTTTACAGAAGCCATAAGAAACTAGGCTAGAACTTTAAAAGGTAAAATTGGAATCAACTCATTTTCTTTTTACCCAGACCTAAACACAAGTTATAACTAATACACATACACTAATTTAAAGTCCACTATTAAGATAAAAAATTTAGTTTTTGCTTACCCATGTCAACTGCACTTCTAGTTGATGATGAAGAGTTTGATCCTACAATGAACAGTTTTGCTGGGTAACAAAGAAAACAAAACTGATTACTACATTTGGATACACATTTCACTATATGCTAGCATTAACACTACTATAATACTAAGATGACAGATAATCCTGAATGAATTATTTTTCCTTTCCCAGTCACATAACTTTATAGTTTTAAGACATAAATGTATAGTTCCACTGTACTTTTAAAATCATGTGCTAGTTGCCAACAAATATCTGTTTATCAAAACAAAAAGTAAATATTTATTTCCCATTTATTAGAAGCAGGTTAGATAACTATTGGAGCTTAAATTAATTGAAATTTATATTTTTATGACTTAAAACATTAATAGAGCACATTATATACTTTCTCCAATAAACCAAAATCTATATACAAAGACTAAATAAAAAATGTAATGAGAAGAAAACTGGAAAAAAAAAAAAAGTCCACAATTCTACCTTCCCAATACAATCATTTTCATTTTCAGACATTATCTTCCAGTTTTTGGTCATATGAAGTAGGGCATAACATTATTTCCTCTTCTATTTGGTTTAACTTTATGTAACAAATATTTTAAATATATTTCTATGTAGTATTTAGTTATCTTAAAATTTCTTTAATTTAAAAATTTTTTTGTAGAGACAGGGTCTCATTATATTGCCCAGGCTGGCCTTGAACTCTTGACCTCAAGGGATCCTCCCGCTTCAGTCACCCAAAGTGCTGTGATTACAGGTGTGAATCACCACAATTTTTTCTTGAGACAGGGTCTCACTCTCATCCAGGTTGGAGTGCAGTAGTGCAATCACAGTTCACTGCAGCATCAACATTCTGAGCTCAAGTGTTCCTCTCACCTTAGCCTCCCAAGTAGCTAGGACTACAGGCATGTACCCTTACACCTGGCTAATTTTTTTCATTTTTTTGTAGAGACAGGGTCTCGATATGTTGCCCAGGGACTCTTGAACTCCTGGCCTCAAGCAATCTTCCCAAGGTGCTGGGATTACAGCACCACATCAGGAAAAAATTTTTTTATCCTAATAGTCATGTGCTTACTGTGGAAATGAGGAAGACCTATAAAAGTAGAAAGACCAAAAAGAATGGCCAGTCTCATCACCCAAATTATTGTTTAGACTTCTGTGTATTCTGTGGCTTTTTTTCCACTTAGGGGTGGCCTTGAATATTATTCTGTGTTTTTAGTGTATAATTTTACATACTTTTTTTTGAGACAGAGTCTTTCTCTGTCGCACTGTGGTGCCATCTTGGTTCACTGCAACCTCCTCCTGGTTCAAGCAATTCTCATGCCTCAGCCACCCAAGTAGCTGGGCTTATAGGCCTGCACCACCATGCCTGGCTAATTTTTGTATTTTTAGTAGAGACGGGGTTTTGCCATGTTGCCCAGGCTGGTCTCGAACTCCTGGCCTCAAATGATCCACCTGACTCGCCTCCCAAAGTGCTGGGATTGCAGGCGTGAGCCACTGAGCCCAGCCAATTTTACATGCTCATTTTTTAATGGTTGAATATTATTTTGTAGTTTTGAAGAGTGGCATTTATTAAATGAGTTCTACTTATTGAACATTTAGGTTAGTAAATGTTCCAGTAGTAGTTCCAGTTTTCTATTTTCACATATATAATGCCAAAACAAACATCTTAGTAACTTGTTGTTCAGCATTATACTATATCATTTCCCAGGGATGAATTGTTAGAAATGTGATTATGAGTCAAAGCACATGACGTTTTGTGTCAGTCTTGTTATACTTTAAAAGATGTGTGCCAGTTTACCACACCACCACCAATTAAGAATTGCTCTTCTATCAACATAGGATGCTATTATTAAATTTTAAAAAAAACTTAGTAGGTACAATACATACCTACCCAGGACCACATTAATTGTCATTTCTGTGGTTACTAGGAAAGTTGAGTCATTTTCTATATTTGTAAGATTGAGGTTTTGGTTTCATTTAAATTCAACTTTATATGTACGTATTTATGTAAACTCACTGTTCAAAAAAATAAATTTACTCAATAGACAAACAGGTAGAGTAGCAGAAGAGCAAGAAAAGAAAAAAATCAAAAGAGGAAACAGAGAAAAATAGGGCTAATGAAATACCCTTATATAAAGTGCCTGACATCCGATATATGCAACACATTTTCTTGTATGTTTCTTGTATGAGTCCCTTCCTTCCTACTGCTAGGTGATGTCTCTAAAAACACTGCTTCCCTGAGATTACTCCTTATTGAACAGCCATCCCAGCTTCTCTACTAGATGAGAGTCAGTATTTACTATTTTGGTCTAACTTTAGCCCCTATAACTCTATGAAAACCTTCCCCACTACTATTCCTCTGTCCATGAATTTGTGCCGTCTGAAATGGCCTCCTTTCTCTGAAGGATGAGGCTTTTTTGGATAGGTAGAAAGAGGAAAGCTCTTTAGATGGGGAGAATTTTGATACCTATTAAGAAATCTCAAGCCCTGTAGGAACTGAAGACAACTTCTAAGAGACCCAAGATGGAACTAAATCATGAATTACAGTCAACCTCAGAAAGAATGTTGGTTTACGTCCTTTCCAACACAAACAGTAATGTAAAATTAACAGGAAAAAATGGGTTTTGGAGTTAGGCATACCCGAGTGGATTCCTGGTTCAACCACTTACTGGTTGTATGACAACCTTCAAGTTATTTAATATCACTAATGCAATGTGGTAACAGACTTACCTTGCAGGATTGTTTTGAGAATTAAATGAGAAAATATAACCATAAAGTACCAAGTACAGTGTCTGGCACAAAGCAAGACTCAATAAATGGTAGTTACTATAGTTAGATTAAAAAGACAATACCCTATCTCATCTTACATGTAATTTATTATTATTAACCATCTCAATAATAATAAAATAGCAACAACCACAATAACAACAACATGGTAGCAAACAATAGCTACCTAGAACTTACTTTGAGGCAAGCACTGTGCTAACTGCTTCTTTTGTTATTTCATCCAGTTTACAAAGAAGCCAGAGAAACAGATACATCCCCATTTTATAGATGAGAAAACTGAGGCTCAGGGAGGTTAAAGTCTTTGTTGGCCCAACATTATACTAGTCTGTAATCTGCATACCCAGAAACTTCAAAGCTCAAGCTTTTAATGATTATGCTATGCTAACTGTAAGGTAAGGGCAGAGACGGCATATCTTTTCATTTTTGTATTCCTTGAGAATAGTACAGTTTCTGGAATTTGTCACTCACTACATTTCCTGAATGGGTGTTACAGTATTTTCTTTCTCTCCATGTAACTTGCCCAGGTTTCTTTTTATATTTGCAGGTGACCTCAGACGTTGCTTACCAGTATCTTACCAGAAGGGGGTGCTTATGCTTGCTTTGGGTGGACACTGCTTCTAAGCCTTCCCTTTATCCTTTCCATCTCCTTCATCTTAATCTTTCTACTGCTCTGAAGTTTGACACATAAATTACATGACATGATGACACCATCATGAAGAACAGCAAGTTGAAATTCTATTCTGACTCTTATATAATAGCCAGCATTGACCTCTTAGAACTCCATCTTGGAGTTTAAGTAAAATTATGTTAAAAAATAATTTTTGAATTTCTCACATTTAGTGTCTGAGCAAAGAAAGGCTTATTTTAATGCCTAACAAAATCTATCGCTTCCACTATGTAACAAAATAAATTGAAAAGACTGTACTTTACCAGAAACTTTCATTTCTTCTCTTTCATCAGGATTTATCTTTTCTACTGCATGAGATACAGTGCATTCCAAGACATCTGGAAATTCCTATAATAAACACAATATTTAAAATAAACACAAAATTTAATGCTTCTGATTAATTATAAAATTTTCTATTATCCATAATGCCTAAAAGAAGCAGAGAACCTATAAGACAACAGAGCTATTTACCTGAGGTCTGGGTGGCTGGGTGGGCTTTACAAGGGTTGTAAAGCTCTGACATAAAGGTAAAATGGTGTGTGTGTGTGTATCTGTTTTCTCAGAAAATCTGTCTCATTTTGACGAGGTATTTAGAAAGAAGCATGATCAAAAAAATTAAAAACAAGCAGTGGGGGCATATGTGAGGAGTCAGAAACACTAGCACAGCAGATAATTTTACTCTAAAAAGAAGTGATTCTCCTGCCTCAGCCTCCCAAGCTGGGATTACAGGCACGTACCACCACGCCTGGCTTTTTTTTGTTTTTTTGTTTTGTTTTTTTAGTAGAGATGGGATTTCGCCATGTTGGCCAGGCTGGTCTCAAACTCCTGACTTCAGGTGATCTACCTGCTTCAGCCTCCCAACGTGCTGGGATTATAGGCGTGAGCCACTGTGCCCGGCCTGTAATCACAAGCATTGTAAACCAAAACTTTTTTCCTGAGTAAAACAGAAAAAAGCAAAGGCCATTTGAACGTATTTTAATGAATAATGCACAAGGATAATGAGAAAATATTAGTACATATACATCAGAAACGTATTAACTTACATTTACAATATCATACAAAGTAAACAGCTAAGGCTTTCCCATGATTCTTGAGCACTTTCACAGCACATATCAGGGGTTCAGTAAGTGTTTACAAGTCAAGCATAAATAGAATAAATAGTCATTTCAGAGAAACAGAGATTGAGTTAAAAAACCATTACTCAATGTCTATATAGTAGCTATAGAGTTACATGGTTGCGGTATGCCCAGAGGAACCAGTATTTCCGCACATGTCCTTTTCCATACTTTTAAAGTAGCCTAAGTAATGTGCTGTGAGCCTTTAACTGAGTTAGATTTCAAAGAGTGGTTTAGGGTTTTGAACACTAACATTTATGACAGTAGCCATATACTGACATTTAATGGAACACAGTTCCTTACTGTTTCATCGGAAACTGACATTTGAAAAATTACTTCTAGTGACATTGAGTCTACCAAAGCAATCAATCAATCACAACTGATAATCATTCCTCTACTAGACCAAATATAAACTGAAATAAAACACTAATAGTGAGGAAACCACAGTGAGGAAACCGTGGTGAGAATTAAGCATGAGAATCCTAGTATCTTGTCTGGTTAAACAGTTGCCTACAGTCTAGATTTTCTGTTTTATGTATAAGCCTACTGGATCAGAGTGCCGTCTCAGCAAATCGACCACAGAGAGTTTTATGGCTAATTGCCTGTTTGACTTCCCTCACAAAACTGAAGAAATTAACTTCCTGTTTACTTTACTTCCTTTTTGACCTGCATGATTTTTGCATTCACATTTCACTTACCCTCACCAAATCTGGGTTGATTTGGGAACTCCACTCATTCAAAGTTTTTTGGATACAATCACGAAGCTGCAAAACGAATGCAGTTTGAAACTGTTAATCAAACTCTGTACTTTTCTGTACTTCTACAATAAGAATATATTAATTTGATAAGCAGGAAAAAAAAGATAGCAACAGGAAATACCATATGAACCCCAATTTTAATTCTACAGGGTTTTTATTTCCTTTAACATAGATAAATTCAGGCCTGTTTTCACCCTACTCTTGTTTCTCAAAGGTTCTTGAACTAAAGCAGTTGTCTAATTACTTTAAAGTGTTTTTTGTACCAGTGAAAATTTAAGCAAACTGTTGAGACATAAAAGCATTCACAGGCCAGGTACAGCGGCTCATGCCTGTAATCCCAGCACTCTGGGAGGCTGAGGCAGGCAAATCACTTGAGGTAAGGAGTTCAAGACCAGCCTGGCCAACATGGCGAAACCCTGTCTCTACTAAAATTACAAAAATCATGTGGGCATAGTAGTGCATGCCTGTAATAGCTACTCAGGTGGCTGAGGAAGGACAATTTTTCTTGAACCCAGGAGGTGGAGGTTACAGTGAGCTGAGATGATGCCATTTCATTCCAGCCTGGGCAACAGAGCAATTCTGTTTCCTCCAAAAAAAAAAAAAAAAGGCATTCATAAAGAAACAAAAATAAGGTTTATAAACAGAGGAACTTGGGCCGGGCGCGGTGGCTCACGCCTGTAATCCCAGCACTTTGGAAGGCTGAGGCGGGCGGATCACAAGGTCAGGAGATCGAGACCATGGTGAAACCCCGTCTCTACTAAAAATAGAAAAAATTAGCCGGGCGCAGTGGTAGGCGCCTGTAGTCCCAGCTACTCGGGGAGGCTGAGGCCAGAGAATGGCGTGAACCCGGGAGGCGGAGCTTGCAGTGAGCCGAGATTGCGCCACTGCACTCCAGCCTGGGCGACAGAGCGAGACTCCGTCTCAAAAAAAAAAAAAAAAACAGAGGAACTTGGAGTCAAGCCCAGGCTGTCTGACTGGAATTCATATCACAACTATGCCACATTTCTCAAAGACAAACAAATTAAATTATTAGAGAATAAGTGTAGCTGGAAAATCCTACCTCAGATTCACCTGTGCTGTTTATTAAAAGTTCAGACTCCTGAGCCTAATCCTAGACCCACTGAATCACTCTCCAGGAGCAGTTTGGACTTTCATTTTAACAAGCATCCCAAGGAGAGTACTTTATCTATGTACTCTAAAGTCTGAGAACCACCAGGATAGACATACCTTGCAGAACTCAACTTGTATGACAGTCTAGAAGTCATTTCCTAACATTTAGGTGCACCTCTAACCTGTCTTCCATGTTTTCTTAAACAAAAAAAATTTTATACAAATATTCTAGTATGTTGTAAATTAATTCAAACATACTTTATTAAAGTGTATTTCAGACTTATTTGATAGTAGTCCAAAGTAAGACATACATTCACATAGTGAGCAAAGACCTATATACATATAATGGAACAAAACATTCACAAAACGATATTTATTTTCACAACATGCCAGGCACTCTAATGGTTCTAACATATTAGTTAGAAAAAATATATTGGTCCATGACTCACTGAACTGATTTATGACCACTAATGGGCCAAACCTGGCAGTCTGAAATCACTGCCTTATTAGATAACCAAGGACATAATGTTTTGCATTCTTCTGTGGGCAATCAATGAAAACACAAATGAGTAACTAGAGGCAAGCCCCTGAATTGCAAAAGCACTTTCCTAACAGAAACAGCAGACACTAAACTTCTGAACTATCTGAACTATGATTGCTTATGATAAAAATTGATACAACCACTGTACTACATATATCTTAGTACACACGATTACAAGACATAACTGGTTTATCAATTTAAGGGCACAGAACTACCTATGTTAAGATTCACAATCCATAATAATAATTTATGTGCTATTCACAACAATTCACTTGAATTCAAATCACAAGGTCTAGATCTTTATGTAAAGCATATTTATAATCAAATTTAAGTCAGTGGATGAAAATGAGTTGATAATCATTCCAGATAGAATTACAAGTCATAACAGTCTCTTAAAAATTAGTAAACATTGAAAGAGCAGAACCAACTAGAGGTTAAAAATTCTATCGGAAGTGCTTTGGCTCAAAACATGGGAGAATTCTAAGAAATTTCCCTCCAGAAGGACGGCTCATTTGCACACTTGAGGCTTTCCCAATGAATTCCTCAATTCAGGAAAGTACGTATATTTTCACAGTATTCACCCTCTTCTTGAAACAATTTCTTTAATCTTGGATTCTGCAAAATGTCAGGACACATCATAAAACAGTCTAACATTATAATTGCGTAGGAAATTCATTGACTTTATCACAAGCCTAATGATTTTTAATCTTGTAAAGTACATGTTCGCTATATTGACTAAACATTAACCTTGTACTTGGGTTAATGTTTGTCATTAACATTAATGTTTATGTTTGTTCTCTGCTCTCTTCATTCTTATAATACATACGCAATATCACTGAGGATAAGCATCACCACAACTTAGCCTACCATTAGATCTGGAGTTGTATAAGAATTTTTTCAATACCATGATTCAACCAGTCAAACAGCCTTACAACAAAGAAGTGGGCAAAACAGTCCTATAATGGTCCACTTAAAAGTTATTTGATTTCATAAAATTCCAGTGAAACAAAAAATCTGGACAGAGGTCATAACAGTTTTTTAAAAATTAGAACTAGAAAAGACCTTGTAAGAAATTTAAATGAACTCTTGACCCAACATGTACATTTTCTCAAAAATAAGTGATTTGTTTAGTTTCTTTAATGTCTTCCGTGAGGCTGAACTGTTCCAAGTAGTATATCCCAATTTGGAGCTTTGGATGTTAAAGTTCTTTTTACATAGAAACAAAATGTGCCTCCCCTTTTGCTCTTACCAAGCAGTCATAGTTTCCCTACAGTATGATGCCATTCCTTCAAGTTTTCCTCAAATGTTTTCTAGTTTCTTTAGTTTTATCCTACTCTTATGAAGTGCCCTAAATAAAACACTAGAAACCAGAATTAGTCCTTTGAACAATGTTTTACAAACTGTGGCGTGTGACTCCGAGCATCAAGAAATCAACATTTTAAAAATTAAAATAAGACAGAAAAAATCAGAATACAGAGTATAAAATAAGGGCTAATATCTTTTTGTGAAACCTGTTTCAGATATACTGATTATACAACTATTACCTGGATTGCAAGGTAAAATGTACCTCTTACTGTGTTTGCAGTCAGAAACTCTTTTGAGTCACTACTTTAGAGTATGCTATTGTGAGATAGGTAAAATTTCACCCAATAATATCAATATATGTGCAAAATTCTGTATTTATGTACCACCAACAGTACTGGAAGAAATTAAGACTCTATGTACCGAATACAGAAATATTTATCTTTGGGAGAAACAACCAAAGTAGGTGGTTGAAATAAAACATACACACTGAGCTGCAACATAAACACAGAATATGGTACAGACTCAGATTCCTACTTAAGTTACAAGCAAGAGTTCTCATCTCCTGATGGGCACTGACCCCAACAGCAGGCCTGGGCACAGGTCCAGCACTTAACTCAGAGGGATGCCGTGTGTTGCTGCATGGTTTGTTACCAACATCTCATAGAAGAGAGCAGAAACCGCCTAGGAACACAGCTGATATCATAATACGACATAGTTTAGGAAGGTTTTTCTTTTAATTAAGATTTATCTTTCTGATGAAACCAGATGATAGGGAGACAGATGCCTGTACGGTGTGCGTTTTTATATTTTACCTCTTAATTCTCACAACAACCTGATGAGGAAGGTTTTATTACCCAACTTTAACTTTCCCAAAGTCATATAGCCCTAAATCTAAAGGTTTTATTATTTTTTAAATACTAGAATTGTCCCATACCGCCAATATGCACAATGTGCAGTGGATGCCTATCTGCTCAGAAATGGCCAACAAATAGGTAACAAGTTTGTAATTCCAGATTAATCTCTGTCACCTCTAACTAGTAACTAGTCTTTTTATTTTCCAGTTTTTACAAAACTTTTATTTTTTAATTGATAGATTATATTTGTACATATTTATGGGGCATATGTGATATTTTGTTACATGCATAGAATGTGTAATGATAAAGCATACATAGATGCACAGATATATGCATAAAATGTGTAATGACTAAAGTCAGGGTATTTAGGGTATTCCAAAGCCAAAACTGAGTGCTTACTCATTTGCTTCACGGCAATAGAGAGTCTAATGTCAACATTCTAAAAGTTAGGTGTACTATGAATACTACTTCATCCGAATGCACCAAAGGACAATCTCCGAAAATATTCCTTTACCTGGACAGGGTAGGGGAAGGAAGCGAGAGATGTGAAGAGGGACGGAGCGACGTCCTGGCCCTCTGTGACCTCCGTACCAGGAAGAGGGACCCAGGATGTTTGAGAGTTTTGCCACCAGCCTTACAGCACCGAGAGAGGCGTCACTCAGTGCGCAGCTGCACCCGCTAAGTTTTTTAGACGCGTTGCCCCTCAGTAGCGGGTTTGGACCTGCGGTCGCGCCGACACTGGCCCTAGCATCTTCCCGCGGGCGGAGCCCAGGTGAGAGCAAGGCCCTGCCACCCTCCCTCGCCCGCGGGTGCTTCTTCCTTCCCGGAACCGCCCGGCCAGGCCCAAGGCCTGCCCCGGGAGCCCCGCGGCGACGGTCGCCGCGCTCACCTCCTCGCTGTGCGTGGACGGGCACTTCTTCCGCAGGCGGCCCCAGTTCAGCAGGTTCCCCGTCTGCAGGTGCAGGGTGCGGGCCCGCGCCAAGAGCGCCTTGGCCGCGCGGCTGTCGGTACCCATGGCAGCGGCCGCCCAGGGGCCGAGCGGCGAAGGGGCTGCGGGCGGGCAGGCAGGCGGCCGCCCCACAGGACGCGGTGCCCGAGGCCCGAGAGAGGCCCAAGAGGGAGCGCGAGGCTGCCGGCGCCGCGCGGCTGGAGCCTGGCCTCCGCTCGGGCCCCAGGGAGGCCGGACGGCGGCTGGGCGGCGGCGGGAGAGGAAGGCACCGGTGGCTGCGGCTACGGCCCCGGCTACTGCGGCCGCAGCGGGAGAGCTGACTCCAAATTGAGGAGCTGTTTCCTGGTAGACAATGACTAAGCAGAAATCGCGGCCGAGAAAGTGCTTCGTAACCGTTACTCGTCCCGCGGCGGGGCAGGGGCGGGGCGCGAATCGGCTGCGGGACGCCGGCCCGCGAGTGACTGGCCCTCAGCCTGCGGCGGGCGTGGCGACGGGTGGTGCGCGGCGGGCGCGCGGGCCGAGAGAGCGTGGCGGCGCGGCCCGGAGCGCAGTGCGCCGCAGGGCTCCCCCTGGTGGTCAGAGGACAGCGTGCGGCAGACACCGCCTCCACCTGGTGCGGTCTCCGGGCGTTCGGGTCGTGGCTCCGCCCACTGCCGCCCCGCAGCCGGCTTCCTACACGTCTCTTTAAAGGGCAGCCTGAGCGGCCACCGAGGCTCGGAAATACTACGTAGTTTTCGTTCTCAGAAGCAGCTGTTTGTGCGCAAGCGCCCCCTTCTTCTTTTCGCTTCGCTGCCTTCAAGGACCTTCTCCCAAACTGCTAATATATTTCTTCATCCATTAATTAAAGGTCTATTGATTCACGCTATTTGCTAGTAGTGTGTGAAGTCAACGAACAAGACTGAGTCTTTGCCCTTGAGACGCGTACACTCTACCCAGAGACAAGTTCTAAGCACAGAAAACAAGTGATTTTATAAGAACATCATAGGGCAGTTGTTCTCCAGATGAGTTCAGATTAAAGAGGACCCTTGAGCCGGTGAGATCGCAGAAAGCTTTTATCACCCACCCCTTCAGAGGTGGTCGAGATTATTTACCCCTATTAGGTTTCACGTGTGGTAGTGGACTCGGTATGAACATCAAATTGAACATTTATTGAGCTTTCCTCAACAATCTTTCACTTTCGTTGAAGTGAATCAGATTATTAAAGGCAAAATGAGATTCTCATTGTAAGCGGGGACAATATAACTGTTGAAAAGAGAGCTGAGCCAGTTGGTAAAATGGTAAGAATTAGGAGAGGCATGGAAAAAAAGATCCTTCTACAAAGTTAGATATTGAGCCTCATGTTGAGTAAATATTTGTTGGCTGAATGAATGATGGTAAGAGTTCATTGAAGGGGCCTGCGCTGCCGTTTTTTTTTGGGGGGGGGGGATCGATTTTTTTTTATAGTGAAAGAGCTACCCACAATCACCACCACTACTCAAACACATTTTGATGCACTGTAACATACAATTAACGTTTATTATTATAAATAATTCAAACATAAACAAAAGCAGAATATTATAATGATACCCGATATAACTAGCGTCTGAACTCAAGATTGAATAAGATTTGTCTATACTTTTTTTTATTACACTTTAAGTTTTAGGGTGCATGTGCACAAAGTGCAGGTTTGTTACATATGTATACATGTGCCATGTGGGTGTGCTGCACCCATTAATTCATCATTTACATTAGGTATTTCTCCTAATGCTATCCCTCCCCACTCCCCCCACTCACAACAGGCCCCAGTGTGTGATGTTCCCCACCCTGTGTCCAAGTGTTCTCATGGTTCAATTCCCACCTATGAGTGACAACATGTGGTGGTTGGTTTTTTGTTCTTGCGATAGTTTGCTCAGGATGATGGTTTCCAGCTTCATCCATGTCCCTACAAAGGACATGAATTCATCCTTTTTTATGGCTGCATAGTATTCTATGGTGTATATGTGCCACATTTTCTTAATCCAGTCTATCATTGATGGGCGTTTGGGTTGGTTCCAAGTCTTTGCTATTGTGAATAGTGCCACAATAAACATACGTGTGCATGTATCTTTATAGTAGCATGATTTATAATCCTTTGGGTATATACCCAGTAGTGGGATGGCTGGTTCTAATGGTATTTCTAGTTCTAGATCCTTGAGGAATCGCCACTGTCTTCCACAATGGTTGAACTAGATTACACTACCACCAACAGTGTAAAAGTGTTCCTATTTCTCCACATCCTCTCCAGCACCTGTTGTTTCCTGACTTTTTAATGATCGCCATTCTAATTGGTGTGAGATGGTATCTCATTGTGGTTTTGATTTGCATTTCTCTGATGACCAGTGATGATGAGCATTTTTTCACGTGTCTGTTGGCTGCATAAATGTCTTCTTTTGAAAAGTGTCTGTTCATATCCTTTGCCCACTTTTTGATGGGGTTGTTTGATTTTTTCTTGTAAATTTAAGTTCTTTGTAGATTCTGGATATTAGCCCTAGGTCAGATGGGTAGATTGCAAAAAATTTCTCCCATTCTGTAGGTTGCCTGCTCACTCTGATGGCAGTTTCTTTTGCTGTGCAGAAGCTCTTTAGTTTAATTAGATCCCATTTGTCAATTTTGGCTTTTGTTGCCATTGCTTTTGGTGTTTTAGATCATGAAGTCCTTGCCCATGCCTATGTCTTGAATGGTATTGCCTAGGTTTTCTTCTGGGGTTTTTATGGTTTTAGGTCTAACATTTAAGTCTTTAATCCATCTCAAATTAATTTTTGTATAAGGTGTAAGGAAGGGATCCAGTTTCAGCTTTCTACATATGGCTAGCCAGTTTTCCCAGCAGCATTTATTAAATAGGGAATCTTTCCTCATTTCTTGTTTTTGTCAGGTTTGTCAAAGATCAGATGGTTGTAGATGTGTGGTGTTATTTCTGAGGCCTCTGTTCTGTTCTGTTGGTCTATATCTCTGTTTTGGTACCAGTACCATGCTGTTTTGGCTACTATAGCCTTGTAGTATAGTTTGAAGTCAGGTAGCGTGATGCCTCCAGCTTTGTTCTTTTTGCTTAGGATTGTCTTGGCAATGCAGGCTCTTTTTTGGTTCCATATGAACTTTAAAGTAGTTTTTTCCAATTCCGTGAAGAAAGTCATTGGTAGCTTGATGGGGATGGCATTAAATCTGTAAATTACCTTGAGCAGTATGGCCATTTTCACACTATTGATTCTTCCCGTCCATGAGCATGGAATGTTCTTCCATTTGTTTGTGTCCTCTTTTATTTCGTTGAGCAGTGGTTTGTAGTTCTCCTTGAAGAGGTCCTTCACATCCCTTGTAAGTTGGATTCCCAAGTATTTTATTCTCTTTGTTGCGATTGTGAATGGAAGTTCTCTCATGATTTGGCTGTTTGATTGTCTGTTATTGGTATATAGGAATGCTTGTGATTTTTGCACATTGAATTTGTATCCTGAGACTTTGCTGAAGTTGCTCATCAGCTTAAGGAGATTTTGGGCTGAGACAGTGGGGTTTTCTAAATATACAATCATGTCATCTGCAAACAGGGACAATTTGGCTTCCTCTTTTTCTAACCGAATACCCTTTATTTCTTTCTCTTGCCTGATTGCCCTAGCCAGAACTTCCAACACTGTGTGGAATAGGAGTGGTGAGAGAGGGCATCCCTGTCTTCTAGTGTATTGGCATAGAGGTGTTTATAGTATTTCTGATGATAGTTTGGTATTTCTGTGGGGATCAGTGTGATATCCCTTTATCATCTTTTTTGGTCTATTTGATTGTTCCTCTCTTTTCTTCTTTGGTTTAGTACTTGCTATGGCGTACCTATTTTGTTGATCTTTTTCAAAAAACAGCCTCACTGGATTCATTGATTTTTTTGAAGAGGTTTTTTGTGGTCTCTATCTCCTTCAATTCCTGCTCCTGACCTTTAAGTTTTATTTCCTGCCTTTGGCCTAGCTTTGGAATTGCTCTTGCTATCTTAGTCTTAATTAGTGAGTTAGGGGTGTCGATTTTAATCTTTCCTGCTTTCACCTCTAGTAAGCCATTTAAGTGCTATAATTTCCCCTAACCACTGCTTTAAATGTGTGCCCCAGAGATTACCCTGGTACGCGTTGTGTCATATTGTTCCATCTGGTTTCAAAGACATTCTTTATTTGCTTCATTTCTTATTTACCCCAGTAGTCATTCAGGAGCCAGATTGGTCCAAGTTCCATGTAGTATGTGGGATTTTGAGTGGGTTTCTGAATCCTGGAAGTCATATATTTGATGCACTTGGTGGCTCCCTGGAGAGAGTTTGTTTGTATTTTCCTCCTTTTACCGTTTGTGAGGAGTGCTTTGACTTTCCCAACTAATGTGGTCAAATTTTGGCAATAATGCGATGTGTGCTGAAGAAATGATATTCTGTTGATTTGGGGTGGAGGGTTCTGTAGATGTCTACCCTCTCCGCCCTCCCGCTGTTGCAAGGCTGAGTTCCAAATCCTGGATAGCCTTGAGTTAAACGTTTCCCTGCTCACTAATACCTGTCTAATGTTGAAGTTGGGGTGTTAAACTCTCCATTATTTTTTTTTTCCACCAGTTGTCAATGATCCTTTATTTGAAAATATTTTCCTTTCGGTGGCTTAACTGGGCTGGGCATTCCAACGCACCCACTTGTTGATGTCATTCTATGATGTCATGGAGGTGGCCGCCATGCAACTTACAGCCCACAGACCTGGGCAGTTCCCAGGATCTCTTTAATGGGATTCCAGAGAGTTCTCTGGCTAAGGATCGGTGGCCTGCATCTGTCAAGCAATGTTTGGACAATCTCTCAAAGGATATCCCACCTGTGTTTAATGTTTTTCTGGTTTCCTTTCTGTCCTCTTGGGGATTTCTTGGAGGGCTTTGATGATCAGGGCAGAGGGCAGAAAGCACCCCCCACTTCACTGCTTGGCCTTTGTTCTGAATGGTCAGTTTCCTATAATCCCTCAGGCCCTTCCGTCACTCGTTGCCCCTTGCCAATGTCATCACCCAACATCTTTTACGGACCAGACTCAGGGGGCCGGATCTGTGGACCCCAGCACAGAAAGTGGCACACGACTTCACCCTCCGGTGCCCCTCAAGGTTTATGACTTTGATCTCCGCTGGGGGTCCGAACTTCAGCGGCCATCGGCTGGAGGCGCGCTGGTGTTCGGATGGAACCCGGATTCAGAATGACAGCCCGAAGAAAGTTCACCTTGGCCTCTCTGACGCGAAAAGCCGATAGAAAGTCTCCTATTTATTGTTGGGAGTCTAAGTATCTTTTTGGTAGGGGA